CGATAACGGTTATGTCTTAATAGAAAACGGAAAATTAACTAATCCAACAAATCGTAAACTAACCATTTATTCCAAAAGAGAAGGAGTTCGGGGTGAGTATATCATAATCGACAGTTGTGCTTGAGGTTAGCTGGCTGGACGCCGCGTAAAGAGGTCTGGGCTCGAGATCTGGTTTGTGTTCTTGGGCAGGGCGATATACCCTCACAGTGTCTCTCCACCCCGAAGTATTGATGGGTACTGACGAACTGCCGGGGAAATCCGTCGACAAATTGCTGTTGGAGGGGGTTCTATCCGATTCTAATCAGGGCCAAATCTTAGCGTTTATGTCATTCATTCATTATAAATGTTCAATAAAGATTAAATGAGCAGTGCTGATGCTTTGGAGTCAGATCGACAGACTAACAGATTTCATCGAGACTTTTTACATACATTTTACGAACAAACCAGCACTTTCTCGTAAATTAGCAAAAGCTAGTCTAACTAGATGGTGAGACTGTTTACTTTACAGAGTAAACCTAGTAGTGATTATAACAAACATAGCATGGCATGAGTCAATATGAAGGTCATTAGCAACTACAAGGAGGCTACGCGTCGAGTGGTAACAATGTTTAAAATCAAAATTGGAACCAACAAGTATTTGAACTCGTAACATTTCTAAAGCTGATAAACCGCGTACGAAAGATATTCCACGTTTATCGAAAACAGTTTTCATAGAATGGGCAAACAGACCGCCCATTCCGAAAATTTTCCCACTCTCGCGACGAATGCGACTCCTCCGGGGATTGTACTTCAAGCTCAGTCAAATGATTTAATCGTGAATTGATCATTATCTTTATTCACGGCGCAATACCCGCGGGTGTATCTCTTCTTAAATAATTATTAAACTCCTCGATATTTTCAGTCAATAAAAGGAGACAACTCTAGTGAAGAGATTTGAGAGCTTTCCCATACAAAATGTTTATCTTGTGCGTTTGACAACGCACACGCTAAACGTGACCTTTTCGTGACGCAGCATTTTTCAGTGAAGAGCGACTGAAGTCCGTAATCAACACTTCTAAATTTATATGTAATCAATATTTTCCGATTAATATTCCTCTAAATCCTAAAGCTCATTCGAAAATAAGAATGAGAAGTAAATGATTTGAGATACTTATTTATTCTTCATTCGATGTTTTAACCGGAAACCGGAAATACGATTGACTGTAAAACCCGTGCTCAATTTTCGCGCCAGTCATCGGCACAATTTACCGTTTGTGATTGCTGCGTCTTCAAGTTGAATCTGTGGTCGCTTGCCAGGTACTCAGGAGCAGGTGATAGGAAGAGCTAAGACGTTAAAAATTTTGGTTTCTTCAATTTTCATGATGAACTGCAGCGACGAAATGTTATTTCGACTGACGAAATTGAAAGAAGGCTCGACAAGAAAGCCACGCAAAACTGCGACGGGTCAGTATCAACACAGGAATTTCGGTGATTCTTGAAAACGCTATACAACATTATGATGGAATATTCTTGGAGCGAGTTAAGTCCTGTCGTATTTTACTTAAAGCCGAGAGTTTTCCGAGACTTCATCCCTATAATTTCGCTGCAGCCGAGTTTGACTTAAAACGTCATTCAGAGATGCCCGCATTGATGCGTGTGAGATTACAGTGTGAGTTACCGGGATATAATGTTTGGATAAACACAGCAAATCTATCAGAAGCCTGAAAGTTAAGAATGTCTAAGGCACAAATAACATTGAGGACTTGTCTTTGGTGGACCTTTGCGTATCAGGCAGGCAAACTCCTGATGGCCTCAAGGAAAGTTGTTATTTTCTTGTGAAATTTTGGCAAGCGCAGGCGAGTGCGAGGCGAGCGTGGAGGAGAGGCGGAGTTCCGTTGGAAACGGTCAGGAGCGCAAGAAAGAAATGTTCTTTTTTGTTTTTCTTTTTTTCCGCGTTTCTACTCTCGGGAGTGGTTTGCTATTTGCGCTTTTATTACTCTTGTCCACGTTCGTCGAAACTCAAATTGACTTGCAGAGGTACTTTTGTTAGTGTACTTCTCAACTGGAGGAAACAACAACTCGTTTGTGGCGGAAGTTTGGCACGAGACTTGACTCATACTCACAACAGCGGAGGTAAGATTCCTAGATAGAAACATGTACTTACAGCTGGACAGTAATGATTGTGGGTAACGCCATTGAGAGATACCGTCCTGTGCTACCGGTGATCAGAGCCTATCAGAGTTATATCAACGCGATTTTGGTTCCACTGATACAGTTCAATTTATACCTTGTGGGAAGTGGGAGGGACTTGGAAAGCGGTGGCGAGGGGTTAGAGAGGGTTCTTCCGTCATGCGAATGAAATCAATTATTAGCACGGATTTTGTCTATAGCCCAAATGAGAATTTTAGAGAGTAACTTTGGAGAGAAGGTGTTAAGTAAGAAAAAAATCGCATTCCCTCAGGCTGAAAAAAAGGAGTGCATACCAGTGCCTGGTGGTATCTCGGTCTTAAATATTTAGGACCAGAGTAAAATCTCAATTTATATTGATGAATGCCAAAAGAAAATATTTTAAAATGAAAAATAGATCAACAGTTCTGTGTAAAAGCGTTCTTTTCATTATCAAGTTGAAATTCAAATGTTTTCGTTTGGTAAAGACATTTGAATGAAGTTGGTTAGTGTACCGTTGAGAATGCTCGATTGCACAAACCTTCGGAAATAACAAGGCTTTGTACTGAACTTGGTGACTAAGATTGTGTATTTTAAATCAGTATTCGTCAAAAGAGACAAATGGTTATGCATTTCTTTGTTTCAAATTTCTTTTATCACATTTGTATTCTTTTGTAATAACAAGTGTACGAATTTGTCAAATCCTCGCTCTTCCAAATCTTTATGATTTATTAGTGAGAACTGAAAAATACGAAATTTAAATTTGATTTACAATAGAACCTTCCTCTCAATGGAAATTTCAAGCTCCAATAAATAGTTGGCATGGTACGGAAGTTTACACCATCACGTTAACGGGAAGAGCCTCTGTCATGGCCTTGTAGCAATCTCGTTTTCATTTAGCTCTTTCAAAGAAAGATTTCCTATTCATTGTTCTTACGAGCAGAGAGGCATTTCTTCTATCTACATCATGTAAAGTGAATTATTTATTTCTTCTTTTCAATGAGCTTGTAAGACAATTAACTACTACTGCTAACTAAAGGTCGCCCACTTTACGGCAAACTTCCACGGCAACAAATTCGTGGCTAGTTTTACAACTGGCTTGTTGCGTGGGGTGGTGGCGGCTTTCGATGCCTTTAATATTTATACCGATCAATCTTTCCTGAACTGACAAAATATCCTTCTCAATGAACAAGTTCTAAATATAATACATAATTGTAATCACCTTAAAGAATCACTGAATATTGTGGATTTAAGAATGACCCTCTTTCTTCTCCGAGGTCATTATGAAAAGTCCACCCAACAAGACAGTTGTTCACAGCTGTTAGCTGTTGGGGCGTTTATCGTGGAACAGCTTAGTAGTTCACTCATTAGGGATTGCCAAAAATCACGCAAACCTGATAGCCGCATCGTTTTGCAGCTACACCTACCAGCCCTGAACATGGAAAGCATAACAAATACTCTATAACCACCGAAGTTACGATTAAGGCTCCGAATGGCACCGAGCTATCATTGAAAATAATCCATAAAAGAGGCTGCATTTGCATTAAAATAGGTTTTTGTATTTACCAAGACTAAAATAGTCCTCCCTGATTTTGTCACACTTGCGAATTGACTCGTAGCATGTGAAACTCTGTAAGATAGTGAAACTGAGTGGTATCACAAGCAGATATTATTTGAAGAAGATATATTCACACAAGCAAAAATCAAAAGAAAGAAAAAAGGCAGTGCATTTCAGTCAGTTGAGACGATATGTTAAAACAAACACTCACATTTACTTCACGTACGAAGGCTTTGCATCCAATTTTCAGTTTCGTGGTAAACTGAAAATGTCTCATATTGATAATCTGTACATTTGAAGCGTAATATTTCTTTTCCATGCGTGCTTAGAAACGCTCTCACCGAACTATGATGTTGCGCTAACGAGGAAAGGCATTGTTTTGTTATTTTGCTGAGTGGTTTGGGAGGAAATTCTAACCGACTTCTGGTCGCCTACTCACCAAGTTTGTTTATTCACATAAATTTCCTCACCAATCGTTTTTTTAAAACACGTGTTGCAAACACCTCTCTCTTCTTTAAGCTACATTACGAATGTCATTCTGTGATATTGTTGGGCTTAAGATCGCACCTTTTTCTTACTTGCTGTCGACAATCCACTTTGCTTATTTCAAGGGAACTGCCCTTTTTTTTTTTATCCCTGAACCAAATTCACTCATCTGCGGCCAGTTGATTGCAAATGATCTCCCACATTTTCGCGAGTAAACAACGCTAGATATCTGCAAGACAGACGATTCGCTAATACCTCTGTGACTTACAGGAGAGGAAAGCTTTGTCATTTCAATTAAGTGATGGGAATTCTCACCAAACGAGAAACAAGAACTGTTCATTTTCAAATTGCTTTCTTGTAATTTCGCCTTTTTGTGTGGCTTTATGACGATGAAAAGGATTCTCACTCACAATGTAATTTTTTTTTTTAATTTATCCGCATTAACGCATCATGTATGAATCCGAAACACAGAACCCTATAGAAAGAAAAAATTCATGTGAACCACTAAGACGCCATGGGTTGTGTAACTTAGATCTTTGTTGATCGTTTGTTTGCTTTCTCAATCGGTTTCTACGGATTAGCATGAATGGATCTGTTGAGCTCGTAATTTTGTTTAAATCGGCTTATGTTCCATGATAATCTTTTAGTTAAGCTTGTTGTCATTGCTCAGACAAATGACGAATAGTTTTTTAATATTTTTCTTAATCTCTTAGTTCAGTGGCGAAATTGTTCATTGTATGATGGATCACACCAGCTTGAGCATTATACTATAAGCCACCACTATATTCAATTGTTATCAGGTTATGTTTATTTTCGTGTTCTTTTACACTATATTCTTCAATAACACGTTCATCAGTGGTTAGTTTTCTGTTTCCATGCCAAGAGACAAAGTACTTTTTGGTGTCGTCCTAAAACGATGAATTGATTGCTCAGTTTTGCAAACAGCCTTTATTGAACGAAATTTTTTCTGTTCTTTCGTCGTTCACAATTGTGTTTTTGTTGTCATCGGTGTGGGCAAATGAGGTGGCTAATTACTATGGTACTTTCCAAGTTACTGGTCGGCTACATTTCAAACTCCTTTTGATACTCACTGCTAGAACACAACACATTAAATTATGTTGCAACTGCATTCAATTCACTCTAATAACACTATGTTTTATGTGTTTCCCATAACATACTTCAGACAGACAATACAAATTGTACCGCTGTGAACAAAATGGTAACACAGCGAACCGTGATATGTACTCAGTTGTCCCTTTTGAGGCCTACAATGACTATTCTGCGGCGTCTATGTATTATGTTTTGAAAGTGAAAATGTCCGATTAATAAACTTACCTTGTGCAAACGTCGAGATCTGTATGGCTAAGAGAAGGGAATTTCATTGGCCGGTCCGAAAGTCATTCTTGGTCAACACAAGATCGCTTCTTCTTTTTGTTTGTTTGTTTTCATAGCAAGGAATTACAGTGTGTACTTATTTCCACACTTGCTCACTTAGGATTTTGCAGGGGAAGAGAATAACAATGCCTTTACTGACACATTTATTAACGAAACGTAATACGCTTGTAGGAAGCCATTTAAGGCTGGGCCTGTAAAGTAAATCGGGAAGTTTATCTTTGCAGTTCAGAGCGTTTTATCAAAGGAACAACGAATTGATCTCTGTTGACATCAGCTGCAAAGTTCTCATTTATAGGACTACCTACAAAGTTGACAGCAATCTTGATCACTTTTTCACTAAGAATGTCTTCTGCTAAGAAAATCAGCGCAAATTTTACAGACATGATTAGGGAATAATTCACCACTGACTTCCTCATGCGATTGCAGCGAAATTAGCTCGCTAATTGTGCAAAATAATAATCTTTGAAAAGTGTAAATTCTGCTTTGTCCGCGTGAATGAGATATTTGTTCGCGACAAGACGCGTGCATTTTGTTTTCATAACAAAATTAAAGAGTAATCGAAAACGTGAAAGGAGCGTGTACCTCTAGTTGGCGGCGCGCTATTGTTTTAGTGTTTTCGGACAAAAGGTACGCAACAAAAGACCGCGTGGTCTTTACACCTCGACTCTGTAAACTGTGTTTGCAGTTGACCGAGAATTTCCTGTTCACGGCTTCTTTTGGTAAACTTCAATCGTGTTTTCAACACACATGGTTCGATTTGTCGTTTTGAAAAAATAACGTAAATCAGGTCCTTTAGCAACAGTCGACGCGTCTTGGACTTGTCGCGACCGTCTTTTTGCTTCACGGCAATCAGTTTCTTTGGCAGCCTTCTTGAAATTTCAAGTTGTCCCTTGTTGAAACATAAAAGAAAAATACACATCCCATAAGTTTTAAAGAGAAAGTTGACTTTTCTGTGTGACAGGAACTAACCAAATGTGTCTAGTCTCAATTGTTTGAGGAAGCAGTCTTTTGTTGCGCTTAAAAGTTTTAATGCTGCTTTTGCTTTGTCAGCTGCTAATTTGGCCAGCTATATTTACTTAGACATCTTGGAGCCATTTTAACCGCATTTTGAGAGCTACAAATGAACTTGGAGCACGAACTCTCTTTTGGCGTTTCGACTTCGTTTTGTTGAAACTGTGAGTCACAGCAGCTCGTCAAAAAAGCACCAAAAAAAGATAAAGCTTTAATATTCGGTTGCCTTTCCGACAAAACTTCTGCCTGAGACATTGAAAAGCTTTCTATCACTCGAATTTTTTTGAAGGGTTTCGTAATGAGCCAAATATGGCACATGTCATGGTAATATTTAAATCAGATACTTATCTTACCGGCGCGATTTTCCCATTTTCTTTACAGAAGCACGAACTCTAAAGGAGGCAATTCACGTTTTCTGCAAAGTGCGTTTAGGACTACGAACCATCACAGAGACAATTTATCACCCACCTTTACCATAACAGCTCAAGGTAGGAGACATTCTTTCTGAGAGAGTTCCTCTTTTTCTACTTCTTCCATGGCAGTTATCCAAAGCTCTTTGTGTGTCTTTGTGAGACTCTTGAATCTCGAGAGTTCTCTTCTGCACGTGGAAAAAGGCTTTCCCATACTAAGTCTATTGGTCCACGTTTTAATGCAATATATCTTAGCCAATTAAGATTCCAATTCAGGAGTGCCGACATGAAAATAAAAACTGGTTTCTACCATGTCTTCACATCAAGTTCTTAGTCTGCAAGAGTAACATGAAACTTGATGGAAAACATGTTCCCTTGTTGAAACAACATTTGCTTTTATTGCTTCTTTCTGACCATCGTACGCGGCTTATTCAAGTACATTTATAAAAATTTCACACTAAGCTTTGAAATTTAAAATCGGAATCCTTTTGTCGCGCGCCTAATTATCAGTCCACATAGTTTTATTCCGTGTTGTGGCATTTGCTTTTCCTTAAGAGGCGATGGCTTTCCTGTGAATGATGTTAATTTGTATGTGTCTTCAAAGAATGCACCAAACAAATCGTGTCGAAGATGTCTATGCGTCGTAATTTTCGTGCGAGATATCCGTTCCCTTGTCTACTTTATCTTCCACTTGTTCTTTTCAACGTTGTTATTGTGGTCACTTACAATCTCGAATAGAAAATTATCTTTCGACGTTAAAGATTATTCATGGAATGAAATCATGCAATGTCTACAAAAAATAAAAATTAATTTTAGAAACTGTTCGATGTCGGCACGAGTCCGTGCTCACAGGGAGAGGTAACTATGCGTTTCTCTGAACAGATAGCTGACATTTTTATTGTGCATGTAGACACTTTCGGGAACTTTTATGTCTTTCGTCGTTCTGTTTGACCCCTGCTTTGTCTAATTGGCTTAATCATTTTCGTATTCTTTGTTGTAGTTGTTGTTGTTTTTTTTTTCTTCAGTGAATTTCTGATAATTTTTGGCCACAGATCGACTTCTTAGTTTGGGCGGTTTTTCGGCGCTACTAACGCAGATTAGAAAAAACGACGTCGACTTTAACGCATCTTTCGGCACCTGTCGTAACGCTAGAAGAGAGAAAGATGACAGTTTTTCCTTCAACTCAAAACCAACTGTCTATTTTGTTGATATTCAAGACGGCAAAACTGGAAATTTTCTCTAGCGAAATCATGGATTTCACTTGCTGTTGTCTTTGAACTAATTCGGAATGTTTCTTTTTGATGTTGCCGTTTTCTTCTGCTTTTAAGATATTAAATGACCACACAGTTACTAAATATTTGTATGTCAATCGAATTGGATGGCCTGAGGTTATTATTAGCATTCAATGGCGCATCGGGGAAAAAGCGTTTGACATATTCACAAACCGCACGCCCGTTCCGTACGATCGGGTTTCGTTTACTTTACATAATTTCTTAGACAGGGCTAAAATCACGGAACAAACTGCTAAATAGGCTCGACTGCAGTTGTGATTGGACTTCAGTGCAACCGCTGTCCTTTCCTGGAGGACAAAGTGACCTTTTTTAACAGGAGAGGAGCGAGTTTTGAATTCGGGGCAAGTGAAAACACCGTGTTAGTATTTGTCAAGATGACCCGCACCTGCATGTATGAGCTAACAGTTGTTCAATTACTTTCGTACGGTGCTGTAGAAACGAAGCATGCCTTTCCGTATAGAAAGCCTTCCCACATAAGAACACTGGTCTTAATTAAGAAATAAACTTTACCTCAACAAGTGTGGAATTTTCGGAGAGAAATGTATTCTTAGTATGACAATTTTAGCGTGGTTCTAAAGCCAATCTTGAGAAGAAAAATTTCCTTTTAGTGCCTTTTTTAGAAACTATCCCTTTCTTGTCAACATACTTCCTCCTTCAGGAAAAAAATTTAATCCGCCAGCAATACCTTAGTTACGCTTGAGTCGTTGTTTCTACACCACGATACTATCATTTTGCTAAACGGATATTTCTGATGGCCATGACACTTCTCCACAATTCTAACAAGAAAAGACCCCATGTATTTTTATGTATCACGTCAAAAAGGATCTCTCTGGATCTGTGTTGAATCTTAAAACATAATTCAAGCTAGATTCACTCGACACGTTTTAAAAACAACCTTCTCTCTAGTTGACTAATTACGTTTCTTGGCGCGTTGTTGACAACTTACGATTCTCTGAGACCTATCTCCTCTGCGACGGTGTTCGTTGAGTGCCGTTTGATATTCCAATTTTCGGCTCAACTTAACACATATGATGAGGTATAGGCTGACAGATCATGATAGAAAAGAGAAATTGGTATTTATCTTTTCAAAGACGGCAATTTAAAGAAGATGTTCAAAAAGTAAAAGCCTTCATATCCCTAAAGTCGTTATGTTTTCAAATCGAATCGCGATGGAAGTCACACCTTTGTTGTCAGATTTGTTTGGGCTTTGCGTGGATAAGTTCTCTCTACAAATGACGCCATTTTTTTCTTTGTCCATTTGAATTCAATGTGTTTTAGATATTATACTTTCTATCTGTGTTATTAAAGGCGATTTCTTATAGCAATTTTGTGTTCATATGAACAACAATTGCTGTCTTCCTTTTATGTCTCACTTCGACCTGTCTTTATTGTTTTAACATACGAAGGACATTTTCATAAATATTAGATTGGAAATGGCTCTCAATGGCGTGTCTTCTTAAAACAAATTCCAAACCATTTTCTTGAGAGCATTTATTGGAGAATACTCTTTCAATTCAAAGCGAACTGTTCAACTGATTATTCAAATAGTATACTTAGGCCGAACATTTTCAGAGTACATCGCTTAATAACCTACAACTTATAAAGAATTTAGTGCATTTATAGAAAACGGCTCTAATGTGTTTTTTGCTCTTTGGTTTTGAGAACTGCGTTGATTATTTCAAGCTTTTTTGTTTCAAGATGGTGTTCTGGGCAGTGTCTATTGTGCCTTACACTCAAATGACTACCCCCACAACATCGACAAAATCAACTTGTCCGCCAGAAAAGACCATCAACAAAATAGCCTCCCCTGACAGCTTTCGATTCCCAAACAGGTGGTCCATTTCAGCGCTCCTTTCACTGTCACCGTTTACTTTAAAAGAACACTACAGATCCTACTCATGTCAGTCCTGTGTATTTCTAGTTAATCTTGTATTCAGCTGGTAAATTAAATTTCCTTTATTTCTGACCTGTCGTTTTAATCACAACCATCAGTAGAGACAATTTCACATCGTTCAAACACGAAGGTTAAGAACCTGTCTTTTCATAATGTTTTTTTTTTATGTTCTTTCAATTTGTTTTTTTTCTTGCCCGGAACCGATTTCTTCTTATGCCCGTTCGTTGAAATTTTCTACTTGGCATATCCTCTGCCTTCGCAGATAAAATACGACGTTATATGTCTTCTTACCATCATTATAAATACGACATTTTTCGATTTAGTAACGATAAATTAAAACGTTGTAATTAAAACGAAATGAAGGCTACGGGGGCGAAAACTAAGTAGAAAACGAAGTCGGTCTCTTCACTAGGTATTTGTTCGTTGTAAGATGTTGTTGTTATTGGGAAGGCAACATACGTTATTTTGGCTCTTTCTGAATGAAGCAATGGCAGATTTCTTTAATTGTCTCAGGAAACGTCCTAATGGAATAAAACTGACTTTTTAGTTTGAAGAACATTTTAAAAATAATGAAAGTGTAGAAATTTATAGATCTACAGATATACATACATGTGTAACGAGTTTTTTTTTTAGCGTGTCCGAGCAACGAATTTCATGAGCCTCCCGTTTCGTTTTAAGCTCCATCCAGAAGGATGCAAAAAGGTACCGACTAAAATCGTCTGGAGACTCCTAAAACAACTAATGATAAAAGCAACTAATACCTTAAACGAAACACCTCGACGTTTATAAAACAATGAGTAGTATTTCGGAAGTAAGATTGAAGCATTATACTCACGTCGACAATTCCTTTGCTGCATATTTGAGAGCGCAAACGAACGTAGCCCAGTACGAATTCGAGAGAAGGGGCTGGCGTTTCCCCACAGATCGAGAACCGTCAAATAACTGCACCATACTATCTCTTCTTTCTGTGAATGCTTTGGTCTTTTCAGGGAAAGAAAGAGCTACACCAGTAAGTTCTGATCCGTAGAAGTTACCCTGGATATTATTCCGTTCTTCTTCCTCATTCAGTTTTGTGTGCCAAACTGGATTTAAAATCTCCGAAAAGTTTTCCGCAAATATGAGAATTTTTCAGCTAAGTTTATGTAGTCAAATATGTTTGTGGTATTGTGCTGTCCGATTTTGTTGAGGACGCAATTTTTCCGGCGACTGCTCTTGTTAGAGGGGTGAGGAAAATTTTTCGTCGACAAATACGTGCGTTAGATTTTTATCGCTTCTTACTTGTACACATTTTAGAGCGAAGACGCATTTAAGAACTGCGGTTTCTCTTCTTCAGGATTCAATTTCAGGGAGACTCAGACGCAGCAGAGATTTTATCGAACGTGGGGAAACTTCTTTTGGTCATTTTCATGACTCCTTATGACTCTCACCAGTTTTAGGATTAGTATTCAAAATGATTGTTCCGTTCGCTCGCTGGTTCCTAATTTTATAGTGCTTCCTAGTTTTACTAGCACTACAGTGACAAATAGCTTCCATTTAATAGATTTTGACAGTTAGAATCCAAAGCAGCCAAAAAAAAAGAAAAATCTGGCCGACAAATCTGTCATTCAGTGAAACAAGAATCGAGCAAAAGACTCTTCTAATCGGCTTCCTGCTGTTGTGAACTGGTGGTCTATTCATCAGTTTAAACTTCCTTCCCTACGTAATTTTTAGTTCTTTTCTTCGTTTATTTTTTAATCCAATCTAGTTTTTACACTCTTCCAAAGGTGGAAGTCATTCGCATTATAAAAATTACGCAGTGGACTTTTTCAATTTCCGATCTTCGATCTCTTTAGACCAATGACTTTGTTACATTTTGAAGTTTTAAGGTTCTCATCCTTAATTTTGAAAAAGTAACAGCTAAATCATCACGGGACATTATATAATTAGTTTTACTATTTCTATATCTGTTGTTTCTGTATTCGCATCACAAAGAAACAGAGAAAAAAAAATATTTCGAACAGGGGAAAATGGTGACAGTTCTTTCATTAATTCCTCACGTTCTTAGCTAACATCCATTTAAGATTTGGAAGCATGAGCATATTAAACTCGTTTTTCGAAGTAGCTAACTCTCTCAGCCTTTAATTTCTTTTGACGTTCAAGAAGTTCATACTTAGAAAAAGGAGCCATCTGATATTTTCCCTTCGAAAATCATTCTAAAATAAAGATTGCATTACCGGTGGATAACCCGCGGTATTTACTTTGCTTCAAGCTCGTATCAATCACTTCGGCTTGTTTCTGATTTCCTTGATCTCAATACAAGCGGCAACGAAAACTAGAGTTGAGTATTAAGGTACAGTGTGTAATTGTTACTGCAACGGAATCGTCTTAAAAGCCGGCCTTGATTTCGTGGGTAGCTACTGTGATTTGCCAACTGAAAAGATATGAGCGACAGCTTTCCTTTGATTTTATAGCTATTTTATTCTACCCTACTGGTTTCAGATTCATTACATAGCATTTAAGAGTTTTATCGAAACAAACTGCCATTGCTTCAGATTTGAATAAAAACGCTATCTTCTCACCGACCAATGTGAATTTAACCACGCGTTTTCGAGCAAACAATCTATTTCTCTGTCTCTCTATCGAGTTCTATTATCAGTTTTCGAAAGAGTTCTGTTCACTCGTTGACTCTTCCTTGAATAACATATGGTCAAACACAGTCGTTTGGAGATTTTCCACTTTCAAAAGGCTCTTTCGCTGCACCTAAGTAAATGTTTGCGTGGAAAATGATTTCTTTTCATGGCCAGTTGTTTGGATGGTTGAATCCCCTTTTGTATTTCATTGGTGCCACCTTCCTGATACCTGCACCCAGTGAGAGAATTGTGCCTATTCCATCCCAGAAAGAGAAGACAAATTAGCCACCTTCAGACAAATATATTATGCTCTTTGTTACGAGATATCAATGGCTGAAATCAAAGAGATCAGAGATATAGTCCCTTTGTAACCAAAAATCATTCTCGTCCGGAAGGATAAGCGCAAGAGTTCCTTAAGATCGAGGGGAAAAATTCGCTGCTTTTCAATTTTGTCGAACTTGCACCATTACGTGACTCTCAACTATCACATCCAAGATTTGAATTTTGAAATTTGGAGGGATCTGGAGAAAAACTTTAAAGTAATTTCGAGGCTTCCGTAACCATCGACAGAATTCCTCTATCCTCAGAGAGTAGTGGCCGTTGAACTTAATTCACAGGTAAGCGATAAATTGGCAAAACTGTTGTTTCAGCGAGGAACAAACGTGACGATATTTTTCTATTTTTCCTGATTTATCGTCCTTCATAATCGACACATCCACTTGCTCATTGTGCGAGTGATTGATCATAAAATTCGCTGTTTGCTGACTGAAACAGCAGGACTCAAGACTCTCTTTGATTCACATCGTGTGACTCATTTCTGTTGTGTCTTTTTGCTATTTCACGCCCTTACACCCATTTAATTTTGTTAAAAATTAAAAGGTTACTTATTCTTCATTGAAAATAGCGAGGACCTGACGGTGCTATCCATTTTTCCATTGGCAAACAAACAAAAATTCTTGAACTTACAATTCTTATCTTTGTCATGTACTTGAGAAAGGACATTTTAATTTCAAATTCATTTTCGTACGTGACTGTTTTATTTCCATTATTACGATGAATAAAGGCAAATTCCATTGAAAGTTTAACAAAAGGAGAATATTTCTTTCAATTCAAAGTGAAACTGAATTTTTTTTCTCTGGTGTTCCTCGTGGAGTGCCTTTTCTCGAAAGTTCGCGAGCACAAGGTACATTTGAATTTTCGACTTAAGGAACAACCTTCTGGCCAAGCTCATTCATTTGTTTTGTTTTCATTATTTTTTTTCTTTCGTAAGACGATTTCCAGATTTTGATCGTGTTGCTTGCGAAAAGTTCCCAAGGAAATAGAGATTTCTTGTCGATTAAAGGCTCGACACTTATTACTGATATAGCGTAAAATTTTGTTTGCTTATCCTACAGCGGAGGCAATTTTAGTGACCGCTAAGTAATTTTTTGTCAGTGTACTATTTGTTTTATCTTTTCAAACGGAGGTCATGAAAAACAGCATCGAACGATCGTGGCAGTTGTCATTTCCGAGACATTTCGGAAAAATTATAAATTATACAGAACTTTAAGAAAAAAGGGGGCATCCCTCAGGTTCACAAAGGCAAAAGCAATAGGCTTCTGAGCACGCATACCCCACATAAATGAATTGGTTCTTTCGAGATTTTGTGAGAAAGTAATTACAAGAGGAAATATGAAATCTCTTGCAATTAGAGAAAATGTTGCCGAGCCGATCTTGCCCGTAACCAGAGGAAGAAAAACCTCGATCATATCATACAGAAGTTTTTTTTTTGTTCTTGAGACTTGTATTTTCGCTGCCAATGATGTAAAGTAAACTGAAAAAAAAAGAAATATACGAATGTTAATTAATCTATTCTTACACCTACTCGTTGGCAAACAAGAATAGAACGGCTGAAAGAGCCACAAACGTAGCCGTGCAAAGTCATTTTTCAATCATCGTTATTTTATACTCCAACGCCTTGGTTTTTTCGCGTTTAATTATTGATCGTTTTCGATCACGTTTCAAGAAAGCTTTTAAATTTATCGGTTCAGCGGTATATCTGTAAAATTGTGTCTCCCGCCTCAGACAGCTTTTAATAACAAATGTACCTGAAAAGAGGAAGAGCTAACAAAACAAGAACTTCTTAAAGTTCCCAGCAGTTATTCTCCGAGGGGTTCGTTTGCTTAAATAGGTACGTGAGGTTCTCTCTTTTCATACATTAAAAAAAATAAAAAATAAAAAAAAATAAAAAAAAAGAACTGCTTACAAAGATGATCTTCCGGTCTCGATATCTGTATCGTTGTGCACATGGGTTTTTGCTGCCATTGGCGACTTTCTTTTGTGATTTGATGTAAGACGTATTGTTAAGGCGCGGATGTAATTCTGCAGTTTCCACATATCGTGAAAATATCCAAATGGCAGAAACAGTTAGCTTTACAAAAGACAGCCACCCGCATTGTATGTACATAGAGGTGGAATATTCATTTGTCAGAGCTTGAGATTTTCCCAAGTTCCCGAACTGAACATCATAAGATCAATTCATACTCATTTTTTTCCTTTCATTTTATCTTTGATTCTTTTTCTGCAATTAAACTATGAATCTAAGCTAAGACCAAACTGTGTGTAGGTACATCGAACATATGTTTCCCATTATAAAAATGTAATAAACTCTTAATGTACCATAGTACATAAAAAACTTGCGACTAATTTCTATGCCATTTGTTATGACATACAAACTTACATGTATGCTTATCTTTCCTTAATGCAGCTTTCGTCTGGTTTCTGGCAACATCATTTAATATTTTCAAAGCACCGGTTGTGAGTTTCCTCCATTCTGTTTTTACCTTTCATCTCGCGCTGTGGTGCGCGTAGCCAGCTCATACAAACTTTTACTTAGCGCTGAGCTTTTGATAATTATTAACCTATGAAAGCTGAAAGCGCATTCCGCCAAAAAAAAAAGGTAAAATAGTTCTTGTAAAATTAGAGGCGTGCAACGAATGCAACGAAATGTTATTCAGATTTGGTTACATTTTTAAGGAGAGAAAGAGATACGTTAAATTAAGGAATGAAACGACCAAAAATAAAATTTATTTTGAAAAGAATAGGTTTACCATACTTGTAATTTCTCTTTTCTTTTATTTTGGCATGTACGCTTTTAAGTTAAGAGCCCCTGAATTTCATCTTCGTTAAATGCAAACATCTGGGGCACTAAAGAGCTCCCCAGAGTCGAGTGCTATTCCTCGTCCTTAATGCGAACTAAAAGGCATCAAGTATATTCTGGATGCCATGTAAAATATACATCCTCGGAGTTTAGTTTGTATTCTTTACAGGTTGTAGATTTAACCTGCTGTGTTACTATAACAGACGTCGCGAATCAAACGACCCGTGTTCAAGTATCTTGCCGTGTCGGTCAAGGCTCACTGAGTTTTTTGGAATGCGCAAGTAACAAACTTAAAACGCAGCTGCTCCGAGTTTAAAAGAAATGAAATATCATCTTTACGCTCCTGGCGAGCGAGAATATTTGTTTTCTGTTTGTAACAAGAAGAGGTCTGTTTTGACTTTATTCTTCGTGAGTAAAAGGCTATTTTGTTTGTGGAAACAAAGGAGAAAATTTGCTTTATTCAGAGAGTTCTGCTCTCGCGACTTGAAAAGAATAGCAACACCAGTATAAATCTTTTATTTACTTTTCTTTTTCATTCAAGGCTCCGATTCGAGTTTTATTCTTCCGTTGCTTTCCTTCATTCGGTGCAAAAGGCTGTTTTCCTACCCTATCT